GTGGCAAGGGAACATACGCTTAGGTTTTGGCTCCTTCGGTTTACGCTTTCTTTTATAATTTTGGTCTTTATGAGGCTCCGTTTGTTTTTCTAACCTTTTGCTATTGATGGATTGGCATGGGTTCGAATTATCACAGCTAGCGTCTACAGTTGAAACTTCAACCTCTGAGTCGGGTTTTATTGAAGTCTTGCGTTTTTTGTTACGTGTACGTTTCTTTTTTGTTGTAACACTCTTTGCAAGATGCACTTCCATATGGGCTTTTAGTCCGATCGAAGTAAAATAATTTTGATCACAAATCGTGCATTTGAAGCGTCCTAAAATGCAACCAAAATAATAACTAGTCATTTTAAATCTCAGTGCTTTCAAAGACCTTTAGGAAAAATGTGCGCTTCTGGTGAAAACATAGAATCCGTGATTCTTTCAGTGTCAATGTTTTCATCTCCTATCAGCTCATCATCATCATCGTACAATGGCTGATTACCCAGAGGCGCAGAGGCAGTTTTCGTAAAAACTATGTTATTTTCATCCACATTGTCAGTGTTGAATATGTTACATTCCTTTTTAACTATGCAAATAAGTTTTTGCGTATTAGATTTAAAGATTTGTAAAATTTATAACAATTACTAACTTATCAATTGTTTAAGTGGTTTGTCATCCTCGGTGTCATAAGCGTTATCCGAAAACGTGTGAATGGATGCTGGCGCATTGAGTTTGTTCTCTGATTCCTTTGAATGTTATACAAATTTTTTACAAACAAATAATATCAATTCGCCTTTATAATATCCATTAAGTAGGTTTAAGCATTTGAATAACACAGACTTCTACTCACATTTTCACTCTCAGAATCTTCAAGCGGGTCTTTTGTACGCTTCGCCACTTCCATACTGCATGCGTCAATTATGTCAGCATCTGCACGCATATACGCCGCTGCTGTATGATTATCGGGCAACTCGAATTCGGATGGTGATACTGCTCTCGCTACATTCTCTTGTTTTTGTAGAGCAATTTGACTGAGTAGCTTTTCAAAACTTCGTATAGCTTTATTACGAAACTCATAAGCGTCCTGCAGGTCACCTGGAATAGAAGAAATCCTTTTAATATACTTCCAAAAAATTACCACCAAATAGTAACTGACGACTGCAACTATTACACAGGTATTCCGGCATGCCGTCTGCCCCTGTTGTCACATCCAATTGAGTGCACGCTGCGTAGGCTGTCAAGTACATAATGGGCTCTTGCATTGCGTCTTCTGGGAAAGTATCCTGCAG